TTTTTTTTTTTTTTTTTTTTTTTTTTTTTTTTTTTTTTATTATGATGTTCGGTTTATGTAAACATGCGTTGCGTGCTTAATTTTGTTTAATGGTTAGGGAGAATTTTTTTTTTTTTTAATTTTGCCCGCCTTAATTGAACAAAGAAAATTGTGGATAAGAAATGGATGGAGGAGGAGCAGGAGAAAATCGAACGAAGGTACATGGTTATTTTCTATTGTAATGATTTGTTTTGTTTGTGTTTTCTTTTTTTTGAATTTCCTTTCTTTCTTTTTGTTTGTTTGTTTATTTATTTATTTTTTTTTTGTTTCAGTCAAAGTGTTGTTGTAGTTGTTGTTGTTGTTTTTCAATTTATTTTCACTAATATTTTGCAGCAAACTCTAGATAAATTGTGGATTGGATTGGAGCGAATATGCTAAATAGATGTGTATTATGGTTATTTACGAGTCCTAATTATTTAGGATTAGTTTGACTAGGGGGATTACCTATAAAAAAAAGGTAGAAAAATATTTAAAATAACAAAATGAAAAAAAAGAAAACAAAACAAATTAAATAAATAATAAAATTCAAAAACAGACAAAAAAACGCACTTTAGAATAAAGCTTTAGCCAGATGGCTGACTATCAAATTATTAACTAATAAAAAATTTTTTTTTTTTATTTTGATGACAAATATAGCTTCAATTCTCTGTTGTAAATAATAATATTAACAACGTGGAGCTTCGACGTTTACCGCCATCTAAGACATGTGTTTCGGTTACGGCAGTGGCTGGACACAAATCCGTCCGAAAAACATTCAGTTAAACATGTTCTCTAAATGTTATCATATTTAACTCATAACTAATATCAATGATCACAACGTAACCACAATTATAAATCGTTATAGGTAAGCCTGCTTGTTCCTAAACTGCTAATAATGTGTGATGCGGCTTTAAATTTTATTTCAGGAGAAAATGGAAGGAATATATAGATGAGTTTGATTGCGTAGTGAGAAAATCTAACCAAATGAATAAACTTTAACTAAATGCCGTTCACCAGGTTTTAATAGGAAAACTTATAGAATTTTCGATACATAGCCGGGACTGTACCTAATGCAAACCAAAATGTATTTTAAACTTGATTTGAACATTATCCTCAGCATTCTATTGGATGATAGTTTTTTTCCTTAAAGGCCAATATCAGCTTGCGATCCTAAAATTTTTTGCAAGTATTTCCTACGGCCATATTCATATGGTTTTCTATCGAAAACAAAAAAACGAAACATATTTTCAAACTATTACTCAATATTGAATAGAAGGTGCCTTTGGCCCTTTCTACCTGATCATAGAAATCCACATGCCAGCTTTATTAAACTCTAAGGTTGTAATCTAGAAATAATGCGGACAATTAGACGAGCGGGTGAGAATGGTGGAGAAAAACCTGAAAACAACCGGAAGTTTATTCAAGATTTCAGACAAAGAGCTGCCAAAGCGCCAGAAATTTAACTTTTTTCGTTTGAGGACGATTTTACTCCAGAAGATCTGACACCAAATCGTTTCAGGGCTTCTTTTCCCTTTAAGCATATCGCAAATGTTTTTTCAATTCTGTAGATAAATCAACGCCCTGCAATTGTGTGTCTGTGTGTGCTTCACAAATGTAATGTATTTCCTATGATCATTCTAAAAGTAGATACACACTTCTATTTTGTCAGACTTGAACATTATGTTTAAGTATTTGTGGGTTTTCCTCCTCCCTTAGCTTTAGGGCTTAGGTATCTTAAAAATAGAAATAATTTTTGCTTACCAGGTATCGTTATCTGAGACGGCGAAACGAAAAATGAACCGTCAGGTTTTCCTTTTACCTTTCTTTTTTAATAAATTGTCTAAGAAGTATGAAGCTTTTCGCTTAACAGATATTGCTAGTAAACCTAAGGTCTAAAGATCTTAATAAAGCCGCAGAAGGTGGCGGTGACGACTAGTTGATAACTCTCATAGTAGGATCCTAGATAAAACGCTTTAATAGCTTCGGAAATATTAATTTAAGCAAAAAAATTTTTTAACAAATTTTTGCCATAACTTAATATTGAAGTTTTGAAGAAAAGAATAATTCAAAGACAAGTTTAAAATTTGATAGATGCTCGAATAGAGATTAAATTCTTTTGCAGGGACATAAGAAAACAAGAAAGCAAACTAATATACATTTATATATATGTATATATTTAAGCCTACATATATATACGTATATTCACTATATATATATATGTATGTATATATAAGCAGATTTCTAATAACCATGTGGCAGATGCGCTTAATATCACTTAAGCCTCATCCAGTTTAACTTTAAAGACTTTTGGTCCAACCTTAATTGTAATTGGTTCCATCACACATTGGTGCTTTTAAATATTTTATATACTTTTTCAAAACTTTTTCACAGTTATTCCATATAAAGCGTTATAAATAAGAAAAAGTTTCAATTCTTTTTCACAGATAATTATAAAGAAAACATTAATTAAAGACTCCATGATGTAAAATTTTTGTGAAAATACATGAATATATTTATTTTAGATTAAAAAATAAATATAAAAAAATCGTATTTTGTTTATAAAAAATGTTTGCAAAATGAAAAGTAAATGAACAGAAACAAATTAAATATATTTTATATGTAACTCTCTATAGCTTAATGATGACTATGAAGTGCAAGAAGTACATAGGCAAAGAAAGAAAGAAAGAAAGAAAGAGAAAGAGAGAGAGAGAGAGAGAGAGAGTGGAAGGGACAACTTTTACTTTCGTTAAATTAAATGATGAGATACATATATTGTTGGTGATCATAAAGATTATGACGTGATGAAGAGGTGACGATGGTGACGATGATAGTGAGGATGGTAGCAAGAACGCAATGTAATGGTGATACTACGTTGATGATTAGCTTTGATTTGTTACTGAGAAGTGAGATCAGCTTTCAAATAAGTTTTTTTTTTTTTAAAACTTATTTACGATTATTTATTTATTTTCATTATTATTATTATTATTTTTTTTTTTTTGTAAATATATGCAATAAGACGTAAACACTCGTTTTAATAAAAAGAAAAAAAAATTTTTTTTTTTCTTTAATCATCTAGAAAATTAGAATCGAAAAGGAAAATATTGTTTTAGTTGCTGATAGTTGTTTATCAGATATATGTAAATATATGGTGAAACTTAATGAGGCCGAAAGAAAGGTGAAAGAGAAAAACTCAAAAAACTGAAAAACCACAAAATCTTCGGAAAAGAAAAAACAAAAGACTAGTATCGCATATGAGATATCATATATGATAATGAAAAAAAATAAATAAATAAAAAAAATACAATTTTCGTCAACTGTTGCTTAATAATTACAAATTAGTATTTCGTAAAGGAACACAAATGCAAGGCAAACAGAACAATGTTTTTTTTTTTGATAAAGAACGAAAACATATAGAAAATGCTTAAGATAATAACGAAAAAAAAAACAATTGAAATTTCTTAGCAATTTAACATAATAATGTTCATAATTAATACAAAAAAAGTGCTTTAGTGTTTTATTTCATCTTTTTTTTCTTTCTCTTTTTCAATGCTTTGGCGAATCAAACATGCTTTTGATTTATTTCATATTGCATATCATATTCATATCGTTTGCTTACTTACCCGCTACAATTTTGCTCATTTGCATGACTTGTTGAGCCAATATTTGATTCAGTTGTAAAAGATGTTCACGCTGTTTTTTCTCTTCGTTCAATTTGCTGGGAGGTAGAGTAGCCGTCGTTTCCTTAAAACGAAGAAAAGAACAGAGATGCGATAATTATATCCATTAAAATGAAATTTAAAACAAGGCAAGTGATAAAAGGTTTATGCGTTTTATGCCACGACGAAAATGATAAGAAATTCCCCTAGGGCTCGTGCCTGCAGGCCGATTGCTTACTTATATTTACATGATTCTGATAAATATTTATATCGCGATTTCATTTGAAAGTTAATTATTGATAACAAATCCGAGCAAAGTGTTTTCCTAAAAAAATTCCGTAACGAACTTCGCTGCTCCTATGCGAACTATGTGGCATATCGTAAACTTTTGTTAAGAAATATCTTCTAATTTGTCTTGAGTAAATAGATATTCAATTCCTAAGCACATCATCAAATCATTGTCTGCATTTACAACAAGTCATACTTTTTTCTGCATTCGTTTCGCATCAGTCTCTTGTGGGCTCGAGCACCTAATGCATTTTACCGATCAATTCCAATTTGTTCAAAATCGGTCGCAAATGCTATATAGGCTCTAGTGTCTAGTTACGATGGATGAAAACAAGAGTGTTAAAAAAATCCAAGACAATTTGTAAAAGCTAATGAGGCGAACTGTATTTCCTGATTAGAATGATAATAAAGGAAGGGAGTGATTAACTGAAGCATTTAATATAAATTAAAAAAATTGTAAGATATTTTTTAATAACCATGCGAAAAAGTATATCTTAAGAAGAGCTTTCATTTGCTTTTCACGATAGCGGATGTTGGATGGTTTAATTATCAAAATGTTTGCATTACTTTTGCTCTTACGTCGGTTATTAATTATTAATAATGTACAGGCACTAAAAGGCACTTAGGATCTTTCACTCTGTCGAAAAGACACCTAGTTTTTGCGAATGTGTTGGTAAGTAGGTCTGGGTAAAGCTCAGCTTGGTAAATTCGAAATGTTATTGGGAAAGATTTTAAATTCATATCTGCTAGGACTAGTTAGGCATTAATGGGAATTGAATTTCCCATCCTTCTCTTTAAAGTTCCTTCATTTTTTAGTTATCATAGCTAAGTTGGATCTAGCTAATGATTAAATATTGTGTTTGAAGTCGTTTTAGTTATCCCAATTTTGTAGTTAGAGCGGTTAGCGGTCATAAATTACTAAAAAGTATAGATGAGAGTTTTTATATCGACTACCGAAGAATAAGAGACGTTCAAAACGTTTACATTGTCCAAAATGAAACTTCAGAGACCCCACAAGATAGTCTTGATCAGCATCAAATTCTGTAACGATTTGAGCCTGTCTGTCTGTCCGTCTGTGTAGCATCTGTGGTAAATATTCTCTTGGAGCTATTGGCATCAATTTTGGCCGAAACATAGATTGGTATTGGAAATGAATGACCCAATCGGTTGGGAGACATGCCGACGACGCTTACCCGACTACGCAACAAAAATTGTGAAAATCTTTGCTATCCGTGCTTCTTGCTTGTTACTTACACTTTCATTCTAAGAACATAAATTCTTAGTGCACAAAAGATTCGGTCACGACCGAATATAATTCGCTTGCTTGTTTATTTTCATATATCATTTATCAATTCATAGTTTAGCGAACTGTTGTTTTATTTGTAAGCGGATCAAGGACTTGTTTAATTTATGCAAAGCAATTGAAGCTGTCAATCCCAATTTTGGCGAGTACAACTCAAGCCGCTTACAAAGGGCTAAAACATGCTTATAGGATTTTTATGGGAAACGAGGTAGATGGCTCTTTTAATTACTTTGACAAAATGTGCATATCCCCCCTTCGTTCAATGTTGGGTACAAAAAATTTAAACTTTACAATAGGAATGTAGGCGTTGCTCTGAATTTATTATTTAAAATCGACTTACATTTGCGGTACTAATAGGTGCGTCAGCCAGCATTTTCTTAATGGACTCTACTTTCTCTTGACGTCGTTTCTTCTCTTCCGGCGACAGCTCAGGAGTCTACACGAAATGTCGAATAATCAATACGAGAGCACTTTATTACATTTTCTCAACTTACGTTTTCAGGTATATAACGTTCGGGTATAACAATTTTATTTGGTGCTAACAACAAATTATCTATAGTATTCTCAGAGATTTTCTCACCGCGGCCCAATGCTGAACGTACGACGTCCGGTGCATTTAAGCGGGGTCGCAGCGCCACTTCCATATCAAGATCATCACGTGCCCGCCAATTGGTATTCTGAAATTTAGAATTTACTCTTCAAACACCTTTAAAAGACCTTTTTCCTTCAAATATTTGCTTACGTTTCGATTCATATCGTTTTCGGTTTGAGTGGTCTCCAGACCCTTGACGTTTATCACATTATTGGGGGCCGTATAGTGACGACGTTTTTCTCTAGGCACAGCACGGCGGTGTTTATGCTGCGATGGTATTTTTTCCACCACTTTTTCCGTATCTTCGGAGGCTGATCCCGACATTTCGCTTAATATTTGCTTGGCTGCCTCGCTTTGAAAGGGCGTCAGATCTGTGAGACTTTTATTTAAACTTTGTACCGATTCGGTTTTACGACGCAACTCGGAATGAAAATTTTCGCGTGCGTAACTCGTGTAAGGTTGCGAATGCTGTTGTTGTTGCTGTTGTTGTTTTTGTTTCTCTTGTAATTGCTTAGCAAAATAAGCATTCGCCAAAGGGTTTAAGTGTTCTCTGGGTGGTACTATGTGACCATTCGTGAGGGCTTGTTGTTGGCCGTTACGGTTATGAGAATAATTGCTATTTTTATCGTAGCTTTGATTGTTCTGACCCGGACCATAATTATAGTCATTGTAAATGGAATTGTTGTGCTTATGACGATGTTGATGGTGATGATGATGTTTGGAAGACTTTATTACTGTTGTTTCATTATTATAAGCTCTAGGCAAAGACTTGGAACGCTCAATGCTTTGATGCTGCGAACTGTCATCATTGCTATTAAGGCCGACATTAATACCTCCGAGTGCTCCATTCATATGACCGTAGTGTTCTTCCTCTAATACCTGATCGAGATTTTGTATGGAACTAGTTAAGCTCGTTCTCTCATTGCGATCTCTATGTCGACGCTCAGATTCTCGTTTAACAATGCGTACAGTTTTGATTTCTTGCTTTTCTTGATTTGTGAGATTCGCAAAGGGGTTCGTATCTAAAAAACCATCACTATCTACACCGCTGGTCTCTAAGTTATCGCTCAAATCGTTGTAACGGTATAAATGACTGCTGTTGGAGTTATGACTTCTTCTAGTTGCTTCATTAATAACATCTTCACTTCCGCTAAAATCACTTAATTTACTTGTGCCAACTGTACTCGTGTCCACATAGAGTGGCTGTGATAGGTTCATCGTGGAATCACTTAAAGTACGATTAACACTTATCATGGAATCCAAATCGGTTTCAATCCAACAACCAGTATTACCTCTTTTCTTAATACTACCGTTATTACTGGAACTTTCATTTACCCTCAATCCGTCTTGTTCCTTATTGCCGATTTCCTGATACAACCTATTCGAATTTTCGGTTAATTGTCGTACAGCTGAACTCAATTCTTGCCGTTGCCTTTGCATATCGCCCACCAAAGTCTGAACTCTTTTCAATTCAGATTCAAGCATAGCCGTAGTATTACTGGCATAGGTATCCGAGATAGCCAAAGCCGTTTGACTTCCACGAGTAGATTGAAGCTTTTGTCTTAGAATCAATAACTCTTGCTCTAAACGAGCATTACCTGCCACAGTTTGCTCCAGTTTCTAAAAGAAAAATTGCAATAACGCCAACTTTGCTTATGAGCTTTGAGTATATAGGAGGAGGGAAATAAACTCATGCTTGTTATGTTGGATTTGTAATAACGATTTATGCTTTATATCGAATTATTTCATGAGTTATACTTTAGTAGAGGAAATGTCGTCTATTTGTTAATTTGTATTTAGGAATCTTTTTTGCTCCTTTTACGTCAAAAAATTGAATTTGATTAAATAAACTGTCTAAATCAAATCGACATTAAGGAAGAAATACAATGAAAGCGCGTTTCGAGACGATAAAGGAAAAGGAAAGTAAAATCCACTTTCAATAAGCTTTTGTTAAATATTTTGGTTAGCAGGTCAAAACAGCTGCTGGATTGCACACTGCTGTCGACCTTACGGGGGGCACTGCTAACTCTTTTAGCTGATCTTGTAGTTCTTTTTTTTTTTACTCTGTCTTTCTCTCTAATTTGTGCCCACTGTAGCCTTGAAAGTAAAAATAGAGACGAAGGAACAAGATCTAAAAAAAATTGAAAGCGTATAGTCGGGAAAGAGGAAACCCTTTGGAAAATTCGAAAGGGTAAGTAATAAGGATGAGATTGGCTTTAAAATTACGTTTACAAAAAATAAGTTTTGAAGCTCCACAAGTAGTGCCTTCGTCTAAAGATAAGTAGCTACGCAGTTCATCATTCATTTTGAAATTTCATCCAAAACATTAAAAATAAAACGTAGCATGTCTTCAAAGAAGAGAGGAGTTTCTATCAATATACTCCTCTGTATACTGTATAAAAAAGTTAGAATTAAAGGTTACGTAGGCAAATCCTATCCCATTTGAAATTTAATTTGGGATGTTTCTTAAGGGACATATGGACAAAGTTTTAACTCTTCATACGATTTCCATACTTGTAGCTGCAATCGATGGACGGACGAACACAAATGTATAGTCTACACTTACTTTCTATTTTTGGAGAATCTATTGTAAAACGCCCTCTCTTGTCCGCACAATTGTCTTATAGTTTGCAAATGTTTCCCATTCCATATGTCAGGGGCGAGCATAGTTTTGGTGAACAGTAGGCGCAGACATTAGCATTTCTTGAGGAAGTTTCAAGTTAAGGTTCTTGGCAAACGCTTTACGTACGAAATGATTTCTATTAAGTTCCGGAAGCTTTAGAATTTGAATAGGCGTAGAGTAGCATGCCACTGTAATATTTGCTAAATTTGCCATTGTCTTCAAATGGGTCTGTCTTTTCATGCTAACTATAATTGATTTTTCTACTTCTTACATAGATTCTTTTACTGTATGTCTTGAGTACTGTCGCTTATCTTCATTTACTTTCCCTACTTTTGTACTCCATGAACAATATTTACACAAACTAGTGCAGAAGTCAATCATCACGTCTATGGATTTTGTTATGGATGTCAATGGGATAAAAGGCAGCTTTTATGAATTTTCTCGCGTTTAGTTTAATTTGAATGGAATGTAGGCAACGTATGGTATATATAACCGTTAGTACAATGATAAGTGTTTTCGATTTTAGTCACAAAATAAAGCACAACTAAGACGAGTAAATTTAGCATGCACTCTTGGAGCCAATGTATAGAAAGAACTCGATAAACAATTAACGAAAAGCAATAAAGACGACAAAACTTCTACTAGGCACCTCGGCTACCTTTGAATTATCGGCCAATAATTGATGAACCCGTGAAAGTTCGCGTTCTAACATATGTTGTTGCTTTTTGGCCGCTTCCAAAGCCAAAGGTGGTCCATTAGTATCTTGTATTCGGGCCCTTAGACCTCCTAAAGCTCTTTCCAGATCTTCTTTATCGCGTTGTAAATTCTGCAAAGTACCCGATTCTTCCTGCAGCAACTGATCCAATTGATATAATTGATGGACTTTACTCTAAGTGATTGAGAATATTACACGGACAGTGTTAAATTTATTTTCCGTCTCGTTATAATTACCTGTAATTCTGTGTGATTGGGACTTAAACGATTCCACTGTTTTTGTTCTTCTTGAAGCATACGCCTCTCTTGGATTCTATGATTGAATTCTAAACGATCAAGCGCTGCAGCCTCGGTACGTTGGTTCGTTTGTTGTGTACGTTGTTGCTGGGCGTCGTTACGATAGAGTGAACCCAGCTTAACCATGTTATCTACTAGATTTACCAAAGGTTTACTTTTCTCATATTGCCTCTCCAAGTCGAGTAAATGTTGTTTCAAGTAATCTAAACGTTGTATACTTTCCGCTCTGCTAAGACCATCAGCGCCACGTAAACGATTCTAATCATAATTAGAAAGAGTGATAAGAAATTAAACAAGTCGTTGTAAAATTAAAGCAATCCAAAGGAAACTTAAAAATAAGCTCAAGTCAAGAAGAAACAGACAGAATAGGTAATGCGACAGAAATTTGATATGCTTATTAGGAAAACTATGGAAAAACCGGCCAAAGATATTCCCTTATTTAATTTGTTTAACTAAATTCTTCAGGCACTTGTTAGTATCATCGATTAACCTTAATACCATAACCAATAGTTAATTGCAATCCATAAAACTCCAAGTTGTTAACCTGTACGTCATGTATATCCGAACAGCATTGTTCTATATTTCGAGCGGTATTACTGTTTTGACGACGCAATTGTATTAACAATAAAACCAATTCCTCATGAGTGCGACTCAGTAAATCACCTGCAGAAACTTCTAAATTCTGTTTTTATATGCAGAGAGAAGAAAAAATTAAAAAAAAAGCAAAAACAAATAAAGGTGAAAAGAAAAGAAAGAAACTCAAAAAACACACACATTCGACTACTAACCATCTCTCATAGTAGTAGTAATCAACACTTACCCTTATTTGTGTGCTGGTCTCACGTTCCAACATATCGATTTCGGCACGACTGCCGGCACGTCTCAATGAATGCGACAAATGTTGGTGCTGTTGCGTCGCTGCGATTGACTGATAGCCATTATGCATACCGTATATATTATGATTGCTGCCGTTACCGCCTACACCGCTAACGAAATATTCTCCCATATCTAAACCATCATTGCTGGGATGTGAAGGAGTTGAAGTGGTGGCATATATGCCATTTGTTAGTGCTATGCCACTGCCACCACCATTTTTACCATCGCCACCGCCACCGCCAACGCCAACGCCACCGACGCCTCGACTACTACTATTGCCTCCTATACTGCGTGCATTACGATCCGTCAGGGTAGTGGCTTTGGCATATTTTGTGTCGTGAGCTGTTCCGTAGTAAGTGTTGGTTAATTTTTGCATTTGATCGTAATTATTGTATTGTTGTTGCGGCTGTTGAAGCTGCTGCTGTTGATGTTGCTGATGGTGCTGAAGTTGCGCGTCTGTGGCATCGGGTTTCACTGTTAAATTGCTTCTGGGCAAATTGCGCACATTGCGTATCGATATGGAAGCTGTAATCAAATTGAAAACACTGGATGTAATGAATGAAATTTTTAAGCGAATACAATTTTCGTTTATGTTGAAGTTGATTATGAATAATGAATGCTTAAGGCTTGCTTGAAGATAATGGATAATCGGTAAAAGGGGTTTTAATGCAAACTCATTTCAAACTTCAAATTTATTAAGGCATCAGTATATCGGTTTATAGTTTTTTTTTGATTTTAAAGCGAATAGGATATGGGTGGTAGTCAAAAGAAAGCGCAAAACTATTATTCGTTTTATAGAAAATGTTGGAAGAGGGCGCGTATTGAATTGTTCTCTTTCTTTCTATGAGCAGCCTCTCAGCGTAAAAAGCGAAAACGAAATTATCCCTCGAGGTGAGAACGCTTAATAAGTCTGTGGAAAGAATACCTTTGAGGTAAACATCAGTTCAAGTATTTTTCATTTATTCTTAAAGACTTACTAGGCATGAACTTGTACCTTCAGACAGTTGTTATAAATCGGGATAGATTTCCATTGATTTCCCGTAATCTAAAAAAAGTTCTTTGTTTATGTTTTCAAGCCGCCTACGTGCACATGCATAAAGACTGGGGATGCCTAATTACGGTTTCTGGCGTATATTTTTATGCATGTCAGAATACTAACCGCAGGATAAATGAGGCCCACGGTGGTGGGACGAACTTGAGTGTAAGGACAGATCGAGTTAAAATTTCCAACTTATTGAAAATACTACATGTCGACGAATGAATGGACAGATGGGCCGACGAGCTTGAAAATGTGGTTAAATCGACTCAGAATTTCACTCTTGTCGAACACGGGACGAATGGACAAACGAATCGAGCTAGAAAGTACGGACAAATCGGTTTAGAAATTCACGCTTTTCAAGTACAACAATATTTTGTAGGACGCGGGACGAGCGGACCGAAGAACTTGAAAACTTGAAAAAATAAAGTGGTTTGAACCTTTTACCAACTGAAAAGCCCACCTAAAATACGAAAGTATTTGCCGAGCAATTAGGTTTGTTTGATGTTTTGTGGCATTTAAAATGTCAATAATGACAAGTAAGGAAGTTACATTCCAATCGTTTATGTATAAAAAAAAACCTTAATTTTTATTCTCTATGATATTGAGTGGCCGTGGTTGGTTTTTCTTACTTTTAGAATAAAAGTGGAAGTCTAGATGATGTGTGTGTTGTGCCTTATAAGTAAAAATCAAAAAACACGGAAAACAAAGGTGTTCACAATTTTATGGTATAGGCGGTATGGTATAGGGTCTCGTAGGCGTATCCTATGACCGGTTTAAATCATTTTCAAATTCTTTTGCGGATTTGCAGATGGTCTTTCCATTTCTTTGAAATCAATGAATGTTTACCAGACACCACATTGTTGGGCAGACAGACAGATGGGCAACGACAATGGTCGAGAATACGTATATTTTAAGGAATTTTTAAAGCTTGCTTCTGCGCATTATGAAGGCATTAAAAAACGAAATTAAATTTTGATACACAAGTTTGGGTATTTTGGTAAACATTGGTAAACATAGGATATTTGTGGTTAACTTTCTTTATTTTTGTACGAGTACTACAATATCACACATAGAATATAGGTTGAAGTTGTTGGGGATTTATATGTTGTATATAAGTTTTGGAGTAATGAGCGATAAACCAATTGTTTATTCCTTTTGACAACAGAGGTGCTCTCAGTTCGCGTTCTACTGTAGGCGTGGAAGAACTTCCAATGGGTCTGCCTAAGTCGATAACTTCATTTTTTTCGCCCAGGAGAGTGTTCTCAACAAACGAACGTACTTAAATCGATTTAGAATTTGATGCTTATCAAGAACATATATAATTTGTGCGGTCTCTGAAGCTTGCTTCTGAGCGTTGCAACCGTTTCCACAAGATGAATATACCGGACGGATCGACCATCTCGAGAATGCTGCAAAATCGAAAACATCGCACTTAGGGTAAACCAAGTGTGCTGAACAAAGCCTTCATGCGTCTTATGACAGCTGCTAAGAATATTCAAACCTCCTTCAAAGCATTTCGATTAAGCAACAACTGGATTTATCGAGCCTTATCTTTCCCTGATTTATGATACGCATGATAAACGCTTCCTAGGAATTTTGAAGATAATTGGTATATATTTCCTTTCTTCAATGGTAGCGGCGTGTATAAAATAATTTGTTGGTGGTTAAGTCAAAAAAGTTGGAAATAAAAATTAAATAATTAAAAACGTAATTACAAAACAATTAAACGGTTGATAATTGAGACATTTACAGAAAGTATTTAATATGAATATGGCTGGGGTAACTGTCGAATTGTTACACACGCAACCGCGCACACATCCACACAAACACAAACACAAACACAAACACACACACACTCACACACACACAGCAAAGAACTACACAATCGAAGAGTTGAAATACGAAGGAGGAAAAAATAAAAAATTTTTGCTAAGCGAAGTAAAGTAAATGGGTTTGAAAATGAAAAAAAAAATAATAATAAAAAACGAAAACAATTCTTACCATAATTACATTCTCTCTCAGTGCATATATAAAACAAAAACATATTTAGGCATATTCGCAAAATAATGACTGACAATAACAATAACAACAACAACAACGCACAACAACAATGCACAACACATATGTAAAGTATGAGAGATGCAAGAACGTAATGAAAAAAAAAAAAATATAATAATAATAGTAATTGTAAAAATGTTGCAAAACATCCGAATCAGGCAACAGAAACAATAGCAGCCGTAAACCGTTACAGTTAACAAATGATAGTGTAAAGTGACCTCTAGAGGAATAGGCCTGCGTTGCGGTCATAATATCTGAAAAAATCTACGATGGTGATGATGATGATGATGATGATGATGATGATGATGTCTTTGAAGATAACGGTGGTGGTCGTGGCAAAGAATGCATAAACGGTAGAACGAGGTGTAAATTAGTCTATTGGGAGTAATAAGTAAAAATTTTTGCATAAAATTCTACAAACACGCACACAAACTCAGAATTTTATTCAAACAAGAATAAAATTGTTTTTCAGTTTTTCAGTTTTTCAAAAGAACTTGTAGGGTCTACGTAAGCCTTTGACTATTTAACGAGTGCTTGTGCGTTTCGTTTTATTTTACTTTGTGTCACCAGTACTGGTAGTACAATTATCGTTTCCGATTTGTTCTATTTCCGTTTTCATAATATTGCTTAAAACATTAGTTTCCACATTACTGATGCTTGTATAATTCTTCATAAGACCACTTGACATGGAGTCCCATTGTCTAATTGTTTCACGATCAATTTCCGCCGATTTATTCGATGATATGTTCGACCCAGTTTCTTCCCTTAGCACTTCGTATAATTCGGCTGGATTTACATCTTCACTGGATAACGGATTTTCTGTTAATTGCACATAGACGTCGTGTTCATCAGGCAGCTCAGCTACGTCACATATACTCTTCGGTTCGCTGAGGCGATGTTTAAAGCTTGATCTCAACTGCTGAGAAACATTATCGTTGACATAAGTCACGTCTCGCGATAAGCGAGATTTGTTACGGCCTTCTAAGTGTTGAGCGTCGGCGGCTTCGTATGCTACAATTGTCGATGGAGCTACAATGATACGATCTAGATCATCTAAAGAACGTGCGTGACGCTGTGATACTCTCCGTAGGCTTTCACGCCATAAACTGTCTTCTTCCCACAACAATTCGCCGCTTACAGGATTTCCTAGAACTGAAAGTTTACTGGCTTGATTAGAACGATTGGTATTCTCAGTCGCTGGGTTAGTTTGTAACGCAACCTCATCCCCTGATGCCTTTTGTATGTTCGTTATTTTAGTATTTTTGTCTACCGCCACCATTAAATCTGTAGCATGGGTTACTACAGCGGCTGATAATGCAATGTTTTGTGATAATTGCATAGGTGAGGTTGTATTAGAATTTACTGTCAAATGTTGTTGTTGTTGTTGTTGTTGTTGTTGTTGTTGTAACGGGATGGCTTGCCCTAGTTTAGTTTGATAATTGTTTATTTTCGTTTGGGCACTTTCCATCTGTTTTATATGAAATGGTTGATTCGAGCTGGAGGCCTGCTGGAAAGGTTCTCCGGTCTTTAAATTTTTACCAGTACTGTAGCTTAATTTTTCTACATTTGTTTTCATTTTATATAAATTCTTGCTATCGATAGTCTGCTCCTTGTCAGTTAAAATATCCACATTAATGTTCGTTGCCCTCTGTATCGGATTATGTATGTGAGCAATATTGGAACCGGCAGCATGAATATCTTTCTGATTATTTAACGTCATAGTGGGCGTGTTGATTAGCTCGCGGCTTCTCGATAATTCCGAGTAATAATATGGTGCTGATTGCTCCGATATATTGCTGCTATTACGACTATGTAGCGGGGTCATAAAACGTGTAGGCGTTAAACTTGAAGCGCCTAATATATCCGAAGGATCTTCGAGCAAAGTTTCCTGTGACTGTAATTCTCTGCGACGATTATCTTTACTATCACTCACTAACTTCTGTAAGGAATCAGTCGACGACACAAAGTGAATGTTGCCATAAAAGTGTTCATCTTCTTTCGTGCGGAAAATCTTCGGTGGTTTGATTAAATGTCCTAAACTAAAAGACCCTTGCTTAGTGGTACTTGGCGTTTCATTTAATAAGTTTCCCACTTTATCAAATTTCGTATTTTGATATAAATATAAATCACTATTTTGCAAATCATTGAGATATGTGTCTAAGTCGGCGGCTCCTAATACATCTTCGAATTTTTCACTTAACGATTCTATTTCGCTTATCGATTCTTCTGACAAAGGTCGCCGCGATCTCTGCCGCTCCAATTCAGTATCGGAACTTTGGCGTTGCCTTAATTCTACCGAATCTGTTTCGCTACTATTCCCGGTACCGGGAGTGGAGGCCACATATTTATGAATTAACGAATTATTGGATTGATAACGCGTCGGAGTAGCTATATATGAGGGCGAGTTCTGTTTTAATTTGTTATAGAG